CTGCCCAGCCCTCTCCCCTGTGCGGTCCTGCCTGCACTGCTCAGGACCACCCGTCCTCCCGCCAGGAGCGGAAGGGAAGGTGCAGACAGGTCAGTGCGGTGGCTTCCCCAGGAAGGTTGGGAGTGCTCTGGCAGCTGTGGTAAATGCAGCCACTGGGGAGGGAGCAGGTCTCCACAAGGGGCAGACGGACACCAGGTGGTAGGACACTGCGCTTCAGCTTTCCAAGAGCCTGGTGGTGGGGGAGCCCTCAAGAGCCTGCTATTGGCACATCAGCCTGGCTGGAAGCCCCGCTCCTAGTGCCTGTCTCTGGGGACCAAACCCACCTCCCACCACCACTGGGCTGTCATGGCTGTGATATAGCGTCTGCCAGCTACTGTGCCATGTTTCTTTATGTTGAAAGCCCTGTGAGGGGTGGGTGGCGGAAGGGGAGTAGGGGCTTGATTTAAAATAGCAATTCCAAGTGGCAAGGGGAAGCAGCAAGGTCAGGCTCGAGCTGGGAGAGGGGGAAAAAGAGGGAGAGAGGGAGGAGGCAGGCAGGACACAGAGTGACATGATGATGTCACTGTCATCCTGCAGGAAAAACTTTTTTATTTAGAGAGATAAGGGCCAGATTTTTCCAAAAGTGCTCAGTACTAGGGATGCGAATGGTTAACTGGTTACCTGGTAAGCAACTTTAATGGGTGATGCTTTACAGTTAATGGTTAATCGTTACCTGGGAGCAGCCCTCCACCCACAGCCCACCAAGAGCGGAAGGCTGGCTGTCTCCCAGCCCATGCAGGCTCACATGCTGGGAGCTGGCAGCCCTCCTCCTACCATTGCCCCTTCTGCCCCCCCCATCCACCCTGTTCAAGGATGGCAACTCCCAGCCCATGTGCGCTGGGAGCCAGCAGCCTTGTAGGGCTGAAGAAGCTAGGCTGGAGTAGCCCCCCAACCTCCTATTCAATCAATTAACCAGTAAAACTTAACGTTTAATCAGTTAACTAATTGAACAGGAATTTACATCCCTACTCAGTACCCATCTACCACCATGAAAGTCAACCCATTCCATGTAAGTGCTTAAATATAAGATAAGCCCTTTTGAATATCTCACGCTAAGAATCTCTCTTTCATGGGTGTAAAAAATAACCTTAACATTTGAAACAAATATAAACATAAAGGTCTCTAACTGCATGGTTTGGATGCAATGTGCCTCACAGGATACAGGGCCTTGAATTGCAAAAACACCTATACCTAAACTATATAAAAAGATTCCATTAAAGAAAGCCACACAAATCCATGAAGAAAGATCTCAGGTGAAGTAAAGAGTTAACATTCTGAAGCTATATTTTCCATCCTTCAACTCTACATATTTCATTAGCTCCACACAAACAGGATTCTTCTGTTGCTATGTAAACCACAAGAGCTAATGGGTATCAAATAACATTAGCAAGATTCAATGAGCATTCTATACAAACCATCCAAGTCAATCACCATGGAAGATGATTACTCCAACTAATCTCTCAAAGGAGAAAACATTTATCAGCCTTACATGCAGTATATACAAGTATGTTTAGTACATAAAGATACAGATTATTACAGAGCTTTATATGGTAGTGTACCAAAATAGAAATAAAACTCAAAGTGTCTTTCCAAGTTAGTATTTATTTAAGGATGGATTTTAACAGAAAATACCAGATATTTTCAGGAGTTTGTGGATATGTTTTAAATTAGTTTATTAATAATAGTGGAAAATCCAGACAGCCCATCGAAGGATTTAATGATATTGTAAGCATTTTCTCTAGTTCAGAAAATATCTAATATTTTGAATAAAAACTATAAGCGTCACTCACTGAAAAAATTGTTTGCGCAAGTAATATTTTTAAAAATTCTTACAATTTCAGTCCAATTATAAAAGCATGTAATAAGAACTTCCCTTAAAATTTAGTTCCTAGACAACAAAAACATCCTTAGTGTCGGAGGGATATTAAAGAGATCATAAATAAATAAATAAATAAATAAATAAAAATCTGTAAAATCTGAAAGAAAAAAGAAATTTCTTTCTTTTTTTAACTATTAGCAGAGATTTGAGTTTTGTACAAGTCTTTAAGGCAAATAGTTTTAATTTTTATAAGCAAATATTAGAAGTTTAATAAATTGCCAACTTTAAAATGTTTCCTTATGCTCAACATTTTTATAACCGATTGTACACAGGATATCCCTCCTACCTACCTACCTGCCTCTGGAGTTCCGCCAAGTTATAAGGCAAGGCACCTTCAGCCAGTGGTGTTATTCTCTCAATATCTGCCAAAGTTAAACGCCTTCAGAGAAGCCCAAGGAAAATAAATTATGGTTAGCCAACGATCACAGACAAACCCCAGTAAGCACATTTTCCCCAAAGACTAGATCATGACTTTGTATATTATTCATTATATTTCTGGTATCCCTAAGCACTTTAGAAAGTACTGTTATGGGATCCAATATTGGGAGTTATAAGAACTTCTGTTCTCCCTGACCTCAATGGAAAGAAAGAGAATTCAGCATTACTCAGGTTTGGGCCCTTACATACTGGTAGTATAGAGACTGCACTCGAAAATGCAGCAGCCATTGAGTGCCCCACAATAACTCACATGCAGCAATCTAGTCAAGAGACACCTCCCGCACTTGAAGTTTACACTAGCAATTAGTGTATTGCAAGTTTACTGAAGCAGGGAATGTATTTTATTATTTTATACCATATACGGATTACCTGATGACATACACATATACTTACATACCACCCACCCCCAGCACAGTCAGCAGTCATCAAATAATCAGGAATGAAAGATAAATACAACAAATTCACTTTCAAGTAAATATAAATAGGGTGTAAAGATTAATATAAATTATTATGATGGTTATAAATTACCCTGTAGCATTGTATAAATCTGCAAGCTGGTAGAGAATATCAATTTCCAGTGGTGTGACTTGTCCAAATTTGATTGCAGCCTGGGCAAACTCCTCTGGATTTAACAGGAAAGGGGGAAAATAAGGTAACTGATCCTGAATAATTTATCACATTTACTTTAAATGTGTACAAGTAACTTTTAAATTAAAATCTCAAAAACGAAATATATCACTTGGCAGACTAATAAGGAACAAAATCTAAAATAGAACAAAATGAGTCACATATATTTCAGAACAGCAGCAGCTTCAATCACAGAATAAATCTGATCTTGCAATCCTTACTCAGGCAAGTAGTCCCCATTGAAATTTATAGCAATCCTCATCTCTGCAAAGCCCATAGGATCAGACCCAATATTTGGGCTCTTGTTACTAAACTACCGTAAAAGCAGACAATAATTTAAATTATGGATCAATCAATCAGCATTAAAACAAGCACAATCATTTCAGTATTCCTTCCTCCACGAGAACTCATTGTTCCCAGGCCTATCCGCACTACAGATACAATTGGTAACATATCAACACTCTGACCAATTATAGAAAACATGGCTCAGTAGTTTTTTATAAAACACATTTCTTGCAAGATAGTCATGTGTGAGCCATGTTTGTACATTCACATCTGCAACAATAGTTAGATAGTGATGAATTAGTGAAAACTGGAGAATCTGGACAGGTGTCCCATCCTATCATATGAACACAGTGCATTGCCCCACTCATGCTGCTCTTTTTGATGTCTTGCTTCATGAGAAGGAAAACAAGCAGGCAAACCCAGCAGGTGTGTGGGGGGGTCCCATCCAGAGACAGGAAATAGCTGTGTTGTGAAATGGTTACAGAAAACCAATCAATCCAGGCAACTGACAATATTATTAACTTGCATGCTTGCTAACAGTATTAGCTTTACTATATGCGAGGAAACAAATTATGTTTAGTGCACATCATGCAATTAAACAGTTACAAACTCTGCTAAAATTGTATGGAAAGAACTTAAGAGTGCATAGCACAGAGGAACAAGCAACAGGACACAGAGTTTTTTATTAAGTGTTTTTGTTACTGCTACAGCATAACCATTCTGCCATAGCTGCTGTATTTCTCAGACTTTTATCCACTCCATGTACAGGCCCATCAACTACCACAAGAAGGTCAACATTGCTGTGGTATCCCCAGGATACCAGAAATGGTCAAGACCCTTTTCAGAACCCTGAAAATTCTTTTCTTTAATGAGCCAGCTAGACCCCTCTGCTGGCCTGTGAAATCTGGAGTTAAGCAGGAGAACCACATTCAGAATCAAACTTTGAATACCTGCACAATTGTGCTAAACTTCCATATTACACCAGGCTCTTACTAGTCTTAAGCTGTATCACTATCAAATAACACACTTTATTACTCTGAAAATGTAACCAAATAATAGTAAACTTATTTTACCTTTTGTGACTTCAGTATCTTTCCTTGTACCTGCTATAATACTGTATATCTTTCTAACAAGTTCCATATTATTCAGCAGGGCATTAAAAGCATTGAAATAGGAGAAGCTGACCTGATGTGAAACAGTTCCACCTGCTACCTTAAAAACATTAAAAAAAAAAAAAAGATAAAACACAGGCCCTGAAGTAAACTTATTTTACCTTTTGTGACTTCAGTATCTTTCCTTGTACCTGCTATAATACTGTATATCTTTCTAACAAGTTCCATATTATTCAGCAGGGCATTAAAAGCATTGAAATAGGAGAAGCTGACCTGATGTGAAACAGTTCCACCTGCTACCTTAAAAACATTAAAAAAAAAAAAAAGATAAAACACAGGCCCTGATA